TGTGGCTGATGGCAACCGTGCTCAGAGTTGCTCTTCAATGAAAACGTTTGATCCCACAAAGTTCGCTCGTGGTGTTTTGTCCAATGAAATCGGTTTGGTTTGGTTTGGGATTGATGATGTTTGAAGATGTTTGATGCGCTTACGTGCCCCCTTCCTTCACACGCCACACCTTCAACGTCTAGTGCGAAGCTCACCATGTCGACCAGCTGTCGTTCAGTTCCCCTTCCTTCACTGGAGTAACAAGGAGGCCCATAATGGCCCATATGTTTTTCGAATATTCAGAACATGTTTTTTAATCCTCCCCGTCCCCCCATCTAGATTCAGATTCATGCTTTGTGATTGGTCAATCTTGTTCCCAATTGCGGTGCTATTTTCGTCCACCTATATTGATAACGAACAGTTTCACTCCAGCATCCAACTCGCTGACACCCAGCCTCTTCACTCTCCATTTTGGCGGATGCAAATTCTGAACCTTGAGCATCTTGAGAACGAAAGGATGGGACCACAGATGAGCTATGTCATCGACTCAAGGACTGCGGTTCAGTGGGCACCTCAAGAAGCAGAAAATGAAGAGAAGACATGAGAAGAAAAAAATGTGGGTTTCGATCTCCAGAATGATGAGAAGATGTTGAAACTGTACACCCAAACATGTCAAGATGGATGTTGGCAAACAGATGGCGGTAAGTCACAGCAGAAACCAAGCGCATTTGAATCCGTTCGATGCTGGTTTTCATTTGAGGTGAAACTCTACAAGGGTGGACCATACAAACTGCAGCTTTGGAAACCAGGCCGGGACAAGGAGACTTTATGTCGAAAGCCTGATGTGATACTAAGTGGAATGGTGCTAGGAGCATCACTCAGGCGTGGCGATGTCGATTCAGTTTTTCGTGCCAGGTGCTCTGGTCACAAAGCTTGATGAGATTCGCCCACAAGAAAAGACCCCGGAGCAGATCGAAGAAGAGGTGAAAATCATCGACACACCATGGAAGATGGGTGAAATCGGGTGAATTACATTGAATTTAGTGAGATATTACGCAATTACGTGTGGGAGATATGGAAAGGGGGCCTTCGCACGTTGAAGGACTGTGCGCTGGCAAAATCACAAGCAGTTTGGTCAAGCCGAGGCATTTGTAGGTCTTGCCTCGAGAAGAGGCGTGCTACATTACGCGGAACAATGGCGTCGCATCAAAGAACGCACCGGATGTGAAACCAGTGCATCGTATTCGTTTTGAGGTCCGTGTATTCAGTGTATTCGTGCTTGCATGATGTGCCCTGCGATGCCCTGCGTAAAAACCAAAATAGTGTAGACATTGCACAAAATCAGTGACCAATGGTTGCATGGCATAAACCATGCTCCGTTTGATGGAACATGCCGCCAGTACCAAGAGTGCAGGAAGAAACGATGTCATTTAGAGTAGATACATTAACAGTAACATTCACTTATAGGAACGCCCCGCACTCAACTCACTCAACTCTTTGGGGACAGCTTTTTCACGTGCCGGAAGCCGCCTGAAAACACTGGACATCCTCTGCTTCTATCCCAATCTGCTTCGACATCGTGGAATAAGTCAACGATGCTGAGAAAAGTATAGCCCACCTAAAGCGTTATGTCACACGGGCTGACCTGCAACATTTTGTGGCTGGGCTGTTACATGTTCCAGGAAGGAGGGCACATCGTGCCGCAAGATTTGCGAACGCAGTCTGTTTACAACAATTGGCTTGCTCATTTACAAGGGCAGATGCTTAGAGTTTGTTTCAATACGTTTTAATTGAATGATATATCATGATTTAGTATTAATTCGAGTTTGCATTCAAAGGAACAAATGAACAAAGAAGCATGCAAATGCTGGAACGTTTATGCCTTGTTTCTCCAACGAGAGAGTTGCGTGCATGCGAGACTTCGAACATTTTCGATCACAAGACGTTGTAGGTAGCAATACGATACAGTGCATGTGCAGTGCAGGTACACTGCCTTGTATATCAGTATTTGATGCCGGTTCGTAGTCATGATGTGAAGCTCTTGGAAACGCATTTGTACTGCCATTGTCACTGTCACGCCGTGTCACAACATTTGTCAGACAAATGCACAGTTTGATGAAAGCTGATGCTCCAAACCAGTTTGGGTGGAAATAACTTGCTCTGGCATCAAAGCCTTACCTGATACCTGCAGATCGCAGTCACAATGATGTCCAAACTCCGGTGGTTTTTGCGCGATCGAAAAGACTTGAGAAGGTGACTGCAGAAGTTGACGTCATCTGGAACAAGGACCCGGTGGGGATCCCTGGCATGGACGAGATACTCGTGATACACAAAGGCTTTGGTATCCGAACTTGAGCTGGGAGAGTTGAGCAGAAGATTGTGTCTTTGTATGTCTTTGTAGCAAGGCAAACAGCGAATTTGCTTCTTTTGAAGCTGGAAGCAGTATCAATCCTGAGACTTCCCCTGCCTTGGCGGCCACGAGAAAGCGTTCCAGTCACCTCGATGACTCACAACCGACCCCAAAGATCCCCAAAGCACGTGTTTGGGATGCACCCGCACTGCGTTCTACATACACCGATCCATTATGTGCTGGTAGTATCTGGTAGTATCTGGTTGTAATGTATGGAGGGACTGATGGCAAGTGCTTGCTGAATTACATTTCACTTGTCGAGCGGATCTCATTTCAGCTACCACCGAACTGTAGATTTTTACGTGCTGTGGCTACATCATGTCACGATGTCAACCAATACAATCATATACGATAATGAAGATAATGCAGTAAGCACAAGTAAGCCGTGGCCTGTGGATGCTTGTAGTCTGTTCATGTCTGTTCTTACGTAACATGTGATATCTATGTGTGATATGTGTGCAACTGTAAGCCATGTCTCCGAGCCAACGTGCAACTTGCATTGCTTACCACGCAGCTGAATGGCAGATTACAGCGGACGATCACCAGGCAGTGTTGAGGATCACGGCAGGGAAAACATTTCAACGACAAGGAGACACATTTATCACATTTCAACTATTTTCAACCAATGGCGCTTTATTGCGTTTAAAGTTTGTCTCCTGCAGCAGAAGCATCTCGTTTCAACAGTAAGTCATGTTGCTCCCTATGCTTTCAAACAGAACTTGCATCCAGATCCTTTTTTGCAGTCAATCTGTAGCACATGCTACATTGCGACCTAAATCTGTTTAGATATTTTTGGATATGTTTAATTCAAATCGATTGTAATCGATTGCAAGGTGTGTTTTGTTACATCTGGTATGTGCGGTGCTGAGGCCAGACGGCTCACTGAGAACCCCTGCATCTCTCCAGAGTTAGTTGGAGGTGAACCTGTGACGGGTTTGAATGGAAAGGAGTGAGGGAGAGGTGTGTGCAGGCACGGTGAATGGAAAGGATGAGACAGATCCTGAGCGATGTCGGGAAGGGGTTCACCATGGTTCACCAACCACCTTTGAACCTATTAAGGTTTTGTGATGTTTTTGCGTTTTTGGGGTTGACCGTTGGTAGCGTACTCGTAGCCCGAAACAGGAGAGTTTCCTCAGTGCTAGTCAGAAGTCACTGTTGTCTAGCACTTGTTGGAATGGTTGAATGGCCAGGCTTACCTCAATGCTTACCTCTTGGCTGCGCTCTTTTTGGGTTATCACTTCGTTCCAACATGATGTCTCTGAAACCCAGGGGTTGTCAATCGTCCAAGGGCTGTGATGAGAAAGTGTATTGTTGCTTCTATGTCAGTAAAACCGCATCAAGACTGGCAGGTGGAAACACAACGCTCTACACGTCCAATCGTGCAGCTGGGAACCTCCAGTCTTTGAGAGAATCTTGAGAGAAACATTTAGGATCTTTAAGCTTTCTTGCTCTCTCGCAGGTTTCTAACCATTCTAACCATGAAATTATTTGTGATGAACGCCAGTACCTCTCATACAAAACAGCACCACTGGAAGCAAGAACGTGCAGGTGCTTTCTGATATATTTCTCAGCCACAAGTCTGACAAACATAAAGAGACTATGTGCATTTCTCAGCCGTCTATGTGCTATTTTCATCACTTTTCTCTATATACAGACGGCCCATGACGGCCTTTCAGATCCTTTCAGTGCCGAAGCTCCGATTCCAACGTGCGATGCTGTCCTTTGAAATCAGGTCGCATCAGTTCGCCACATTTATTTTGGCCTCGGGGAATATGGCCCCAGGGTTGTTGCATTCAGTCTCTGTCAACATATATTGTGCACCGATTTCTGAAAGAATTCATAAAGGAAGTTTAGGCGAGAAACTTCCGAGTTATGGATTCCTGGATGTAGCTCAGAGAAGACGTGGCTGACAGAAGTAGCTGAGAGAAGAGATGGATCAGAAAATGTGTGGTGAAGAGCAGAGAGCTCAGTGAACAGCAGAAGATGTAGCTCCGAGAGGGCCAAGAGAAGAGCAGTCTACGGAAGAAGCAGCGCAGAGCACGGCTAGCTCAGAGAAGAGCTGGCTGAGAGAAGAAGGAGGCTGCTCAAATAAAATGGCTCAAAAAGGAAGCAGCTAAGGAGAATTAAGGAGATATGTTCAGAGAAGAGCTGCTGAGTGTTTTGCACACCTTCTGCCCTGACGTCGAGGCAGTACTGGTAAAATATCGGTTGACTAGTTTGATCATTCACTGGCTGTTGGAATGGTACCCCTTTGGAGGCTTGGGTGTGTATGTGTTTGAGGTAAAGGCTGGAGATTCCCCGGAAGTTGATTTGAATGAATTTGTGCATCAAGGTTGTGGTTCAAGATTCCACCCCGTTTTTTGCCGTGACTCTTACGGGGCGTACAACCTTAGCGGGACCTCGTCGCAGTCCCGCGGGTCCATTGTTGCTGCTGCTGGTTCTGCGGTGGCCATCACACCGGACTTCCTTTTTGATCGCTGGCAGTGATTTTTCCTGGGGCGTATTCAACTTGGTGGATCTCGCGTGCATCCCTTAAGCGAAGTCTTAGGGACGGGTTAACGGTTCACTGCCTCAAACCGTGCAAACAATTTTCTATTTGATTGGACCTTTCATGTATTTCAGCCTTCTTACCCTTCTGTCTTGTTTTACATTGCAGAGTGGCGACACCTACAAGGAGGCGGAATTTGCGGCGGCGCAGAGCCAAGGCTCGATTGGATTGGTGGCTTTTCCGGAAGGGATTTATACGGTTACCTGTCCACAGCATTTGGCATATTCATCATACACTTGCACAGCACCACTCAAGGGACAAGGTCTTTTTGAGAGCTATAACCAGGACAATGGATTTGGACTGACAAGGTGCGTGGAAGTGTGGGACATGCAAAAAAGTCAATGGAAAAAAGGCGGCATTTTGCGATCGTTGTGGTGGCACCTGGCAAGCTGGTACGCCACATTCAAATGCTCCCAAAGGTCAGAACCAGTGGTCGTATTCCAGTTGGAAAGATTGGGAGGAAGATTGGGACGATGGGGAAGGGGACTGGCAGTCCTCGAGGTCTTCTCATCCCACTACAAGAGGGAAGAGTCCATCTGCCCATGCCTCTCGAAAGCCAAAGGGAAGGCGTTCCAAAGCAAGCAAAAATCATGGTGGTCCCAAGGGCAGGGGCAAGGGGAAGAATGCCAAGTCGCAGGACTCAGCCGTCACTGCTACCTCTTCTCCGCCTCCCCCTACACCATGGCCATCATTCGAACAGCCACCAGCATTGCCTGCTACGACTCAAGCCGTAGCACCAACTACCGCTGCTCTCAATCAACACAATGCAGATTGGATTGCAGCAATCAAACAAGACTATCCAGATCGAAGCACCATGCCGGAGAATCTGCGAGCCATGGTGGAGAAACACGAGAAAACTCAAGCCAAAAGCGCTGTAAAGTCTCTTCACTCCGCCACTACAGCATTGGACAAGGCCCAACGCCAGTTATCCGAGACGCTGGATGCAAAGCAGAAGCATCGGGCTTCTTGGATCAGCCATTTGACCGAAAGTCTCAAGGTATGGGAGGCCTCACTGGAGGAATACAGAAGACATCAAGCCGGGTTACAAGAGCTAGTGGCCAAAGCCAAGGAAGATATCACAGCTGCACGCAAAGATATCGAGAGGCTCAATGCCCAAGTAGGTACTCAGCAGAACGCTCAGACCCCCCTAGCGGTGGAAACTCAGCCAGAAGATTCCACCGACTGCGAGGAAGAGCGTCTGCGTGCTGCGCTGCAAGGTACCTTACAAGCATGTGCTGGATCGCTTGGTTTACAGGTGGCAACTCCCAGCTCACCTGTCCAAACTATTGTTTCGGACGAGGAGAAGGAGGGCCAGCCGGGCAAGCGTTTGAGAGCTGCCGACCAGGAGGGCAAGATGCAGCCCACGGCACCGAAGCAGTGATTGATGGCAGTGCTTTTCAGCGTCTGTTACAGAGTGAGAAGCATGATGCCACTTCCTTTCCGGAGATATGCAGAATGGTTGAGGCCTATAGTATGCCCTATGAAGAGGGGTGCTATGCAGCATGCCAAACTGATCTCCACCTTAACGCCGTGCTCTTGTATCATCGCCATTCCATTTGTGATGAACCCAGATTTTGCAGTACATTTCAGGCCCAACTCAATGCTTTCAGACTCCGCTCTCAAATTCTACGTGATCGCTGGCAACAGGGGGGGTATGACGAGACATCTGTTTCATTGCGACAACAGTTCGCACGCACAGGCAACGCCGACAGATTGCGCTCGTCAGCCACAGTTCAGTTTGATCTGAGTATTGAGGTGCATATTGAAGGAGTCCAGAAATGTATTTCCAATCCGTTATTTCTTCAACATGATGAATTGCAAAAGTGGACATTGAAACCCTGGAAGCTGCGGAACAGGAGGCGCTCGTCAAAGTTGGCTACCTGCCATCTTGACGACCCTCATTGGTCGACAGGTGAAGCCCGTTTTCCGACTTCTTCGTCTTCACTGCTCCGTCCCCGAGCTGCCAGGTTGTTCACTAGTGTGCCAAGTTTTTTGCCTATGACCACATTTGTTGACACCCCGGTGAGTGCTCCGCTGTCTTCTAAGGCCGTGTTGAGCTTCCCTGAGTGTCATGACATATCAACATCCAAGGAGTCTAATGGTGGTTCCATGGATCATGTTGCATTCATGCAAGTGCAAAAGCCTGCATCGCTTGTTGCCAAAAATGACCCTACTTTGGGACAGCAGGGGCCGCTTTTCCACGATGCTGCACAAGGGCTTGATCATGCACCGTCAGATAGTCCTGCTTCTGACGAAAGCGCTGAAACACATAGAAGTGATGAATCATCTCCTGAAGACTCTGCCACGGTTCAACAAGGTCCTTCTGCTGCTGATGAGGTAGTTCGTCAAGATGTTATGCTTTATCACTTGACTGATCCTCCTATCAGAGCCTTTTTGAATTGGAACTCCTTTGACGAAATGATGGTTGAAATTGCTCATCATTTTGCAGTTCATCGGTCAGTTCTTCTTGATGCTTACGAAGTTGTTGCCCAACTCCCTGACATTGGTCCTGATGTCGTGCCCATTGTAGTGCACATGGTCGATGACATTCCACCTGCCTTCAATGCTCGGCTTGTCTTGATTGATCTTGAATATCATGGCCATCAAGTTGAAGAGCATTTCCAACTGGGTCCCATCTTGGCGCGACATGTCATTTTGGTTCCCACTGTTGTTGATAGGCAAGGGTTTCTCCATGCAGCCGACGTCGACCGTTATTGTGCAAGTGAAGCAGGCAGGTGTCTAGTATACCATAATGGCCAGCGCTGGGCTGACTATGACGGGTCTGCTCGGACAATCAATCATGGTGATCATGGTCGTGTAGCTATCCCCCTGTCCGAGGGGTATGCATGCCCAACAGTTTCCATGGTCCAACTGAGGCAGGCAGGTTTATCGGAGCATGAGATCGTTAATACGTTGATAAATGACGACCCAGTCTCAGGGTATTCACCAAGCATGTTGAGCGACACCGAAGTGCGTGAGCTGGCCACTTCTGACCTCGTAGAGGACGACTTGTTTTCTGCGCTCGGGGTCGGCATTGATGAACGCAGACATTGTAGATCTGGGGTTCTCGAGGATATCACCAACACATGTCATGGTCGGTTTGCGTCAAGTGCTCATTCAGATTTTGTGCCCTCATGCCCACAGAATTTTGCATGCAATGATGTTGCCGGTGAGGTAGATGCCCATGTAGTTGGCAAAGTCGAGGTCAGTCCCGTTGTCCTGCTGTGCCACAGTGTCGATCAGGGAGTCTCTGACTTACAGCATCAACCTACACATGACATTGATGATGATGTCTTTCATGCTATGCAAACATGCACTTCTGTATCTAGAAAACCTGACCCGAAGCCAGGTTGGGTTGTCCTAGACCCTTCAAGGAATTGCAAGCAGCTCTTGACAGAGATTACTGCTCCGGCTCCAGCTATTGCAAAGTCAGAAGTGCCAAGTCGAGCTTGTCAGGTCCATGAACCTGGCTTATCGTCAGACTCAATCATTGATTTCATCCCTGGTGCCCCGGCGTTTGGTTTTCATGCAGGGAGTTCTTTTTCATTTGTTTCTGTCGACAATGACCCGCATGAGAAGCCTGACATGCCAAAGCCTCGACAGAGCGACGCTGAAGATAGCCTAACCGATGAATTTCTTCAAGCTGTCCGTGCAGCAAATGAAGCTATTGACAACGCACCACAATTCCCTAACAATGAACCAGAACTTGCTTCACAACCTGCTTTTATTCAAGAGTTATGGGAGATTTGGACTGCGCATGCGACACTCGGTCCAGGCTTCGTAGAGCCCTTAGCTCGTATTGAAACCTGGTACACTGACCACCGAAGGCAACTTCGTTGTCTGCTTCCGAGAGTAGTTGTATTACCTCGTGAATTTTCGACATGGGAGGCACTCATCCTTAATGCCTGGACTGATGTAGCTCTTCAAGGAGTCGAGACTTCCCTTCACTTGGTCTATCCTACTCCCGAAGATTGCGCTCCTGGAATTTGTGCCCAAATTGTTGTTGTGCAGCAACCCCTCGAGCATATGAAGTCCTTGGTCATTTCTGTGTATGATTCAGCCAGGGAGTCCCAGAGACCTTCCTCTTTCTGCCAGGTGCTCCCAGCCCGATTGGGCATTGATGAAGTCCTAGCAGCGACTGGTCTGTCCGAAGTATGTGACACACGCCTTCCGCAGAACGAGTGCTCACTTTGGTACGGAACGACGCCCATTCGTTCTGGCCAGAGGGTCTTTGTGCGCAGCGGCTATGCATTACGTCTTAGTGTTCGCCGCGGCCTTGCCATAGAACTGCCCGACTTGCTCCAAATGTCTGATCATGCCTTGAGAGTTCAGCTTCAATCCGCGATGTGGGGAGTTTTGTATCGACGGCCTCCCTGGCCAGCGTTCTCAGGGGACGTTTACGCAATGCCGAATAGCAGTCATTGGCCCAGAGCAGAGCCCATTGAGGTTGCTGACACCCATGATGAGGCAACAGCCAGCAATGAGCGAAGGCTGGATGTACCTGACTGGATTCGAAGTCTTAGGGATATCCATTTTGCCAGGGCTCATGTGGACGATCCTGAGGAAGGTGCGATTCTTTCGGTGAGTGTATGGTTTGTGCACGGGCATACTGAAGAGTCATGTCTTCATCCAAAGGTGGTTCGTCTTGACGCGGATCAGTTTTCCTGGCGCTCTACCATGGTCGTGGCATGGTTAGATAGCATTCGCAGAGCACAACCTATCGACTTTCATGTAGTCACACCGTTGCCGCCTGATGTGCATGGAGCCTCTTCTGATGTCCATGTTATTCTTTCGCAGCAACTTTTTGCTGATCAGAGAGCTATTCTCGTTACAGCAGGGATCCCAGACGCTGAATTTTCTGGTAAGCAGCGGGCTGCCATTGTCACTGGTCAAGTTGCTGCAATGGATATTCGCTCTGTCATGCCCTCTGCGTTGCGAACATTTGGCATTCTTCAGGTCTCTCAAGGAGACTACGTGTTCCCGGAAGAGCAGTCCTTTCGAGTTGCCAATGGAGATTCCTTTGTCCTCTCTATCGCTCCAGTTGGAAGCGGTCGTGCTGGACAAGCCACCTCTGCTCAACATGATGAGGAGGCTGAGGATGAGACCTTGATGTTGCAACTGGCCACCTTTCCGCGCCCTGTAGAACCAAAGGCAGATCCCACACCAGCCTTCCACGCCAGCCCACCCAGTCTTGTGGCGGGCGATTTGAGTGCTAATTAAAGTGGTTTTGTCCCTGGATGCTTGCATTGCGGTCCCGGCAACTTATCGGCCAGATGCCTTCCACGGAGCTGAGGTGGCTTACTGCTCACGAGATGATTGGCCGAATCAGATTGCGGGTACCCAGATCCAACTAACTCCACTGCCTGAGGGGCTTGATCTCACTGCCCACACCTTGTTTGCGATGTCATGCCCAGAACATTCCTGCGAGCCTGAACTTGCCCACAAGGTGGCGCTATATGTTGACGGGTCTGTTTGTGCAGGACATGCTGCTTGGAGTGTTGTAGCAGTTAAATATGATGCAGTTGGAGCACCCGCATTGCAGGGATGTCTGTCAGGCACGGTTCCGACATCCACAGAATGTCCTCAATGGATTGGAGCCCAGAGTGAAGACAACATCAGTGCGGAACTCACTGCAGTCGTTGCTGCCATGGTTGCGGCATTATGCATGGACAGCGGCGAGTCGATTGTGGTTCGGCCTGATCTTAAATTAAGCGTCAAGTTAGCCACCTTGGAGTGGCAATGTTCTGCACACCCTGAACTCGGGCGCCTTTGTCAAGTGCTTGGCGCATGGTTCCGCAAAATTCATGGCACTTTTTGTGAAGTGCGCGGCCACACCAAACACCCATGGAATGATCTAGCAGACTCACTGGCGCGATGGTCTGCGAGTAGCCAACTACAGTGTGGTGACATTGACTGGTTACCTTTTCATGAGTTGATTTGTTCGCATGATGTCAACTGGGCCTGGCTTTTCAATGCTGGTCCCTCACTTCACCAATGCCTTCCCCCAGGGTCGGCAGGAGGCTCATGGCAGATCACTCCTTCCTATCGTCGGACTTACATGCCTCAGTTTTTGCCACCTGACGAGACTTGGATTCAGTTTGATTTTTGTATCGCATCCGCCAATGTCCTTGCGCTCAGTGACGAGCTGCCTGATATGCCTGCTTCTACCGCAGCTGACCGAGCAGTCCGTCTTGACAGACAGTGGCATGCACAGAAACTGGTAGCAATTGGTTTGCAAGAATCTCGGCGGCCTGCCGGGAAAATCATGACTGAGCACTACCAGGGATTTGCATCTGGGTACCAGCAATGTGGCAAGGCGGTGCACTTTGGGTGTGAACTGTGGCTCCACAAAACGATTCCCCTGGATGCAGATAGGCAGCTTACGTTGTCCGCATTTAGTAGTGCAAGTGCTGTGGCTGATCCACGCCGACAGGTTGTGAACTTGCACCATCCACTCATTGACATTTCGTTTGTTGTGTTGCATGTTCCATGTAAGTCGTCCTCCTGCTCATTGGATCAGTTGGAAGCATGGTGGAAAGAGACCATTTCTCTGTTGCAACATGCCAGTTTGGCGCCTCATGTTTGGTGCATGGTTGACGCCAATGCACCTCTTGCTTCTCACAATACTCCATGGTTTGACATGTATGGGGCTGAACCGTCCAATCCACAGGGACTATTGTTTGAGGAAGCTTTATCATCTCTTCAGTGGCATGCGCCAGCGACCATGCAATGGGCTCAGAAGGGTCCACATTGCACATGGACACACCCGAGAGGAAAGCAATTTCGTAGAGATTTTGTGTTGTGCTCAGCTGCTGCATTCTCCTGGTGCACCAAAACATGGGTCGATCAGAGGTTTGATGGAGGATTCGCACACGATGACCATTTTCCGGTTGTGATGGCATGCCAAGGGTGGTTGAAGTCCTCCCTGGGGGCTCGGAAAACAGTTTGGGATCCTCGTGCATTTGTTGACCCGGTTAAGAAGAAGCAATTTCAAGATGCCTTACAAACAATGCCCATTCCTGACTGGAGCACACATGTTGACAACCATGCTGCCTTGCTTGAAGCCAATGTCTTGCAACTTGCTAAGCAGCATTTTCAGAAAACATCTCGTGATCGCATGAGGCCACGTCTCTCTGAAAGTACACGAAATTTCATTTCATTCAAGCGCTCCTGCCTTGACTATGGCAGATCTCAACAGCTGATGAATGACAGGACTTTTAGAGCGCAATTGAGAGGCCTTGAGAAGGAGACGCGTCAAAGAGTTCGGCAGGATCAACGTCAATTTTATGATGGATTGGTGCATGACTTGAGCAAAGCAGGGGAATTGCACGATGCCAGACACGTGTACAAGCTTCTCTCGAGGCTTGGGGGACGATCCCCAAAACGACCAACAGCGAATGCCTTGCCCTTGCTTAAACAGAATGGTGCTCCTGTCACGTCCTTTCCTGCCCAACAAAGATTATGGATGAAACAGTTCGCTGAAGTTGAGGCGGCCAACATCATGTCCCGCGATGAGTTTTCTAGGTTGCTGCCAGCTTGTCTCGGTATTGCTCCCTGTGATCTTGCTTTTGAAGTTTTCCCGGATGTCCATGAAGTGATGCAGCAAATTCATCGTGCCAAGCGAGGGAAGGCCCCTGGACCTGATGGCATCCCGCCTGACGTGCTAAAGGCTGGTGCTCAGGAAATGGCCAAGCACCTGGTAGTCCTAACAACCAAAGTGGCTGCCCATGGCCGCGAGCCGGCTAGCTGGCGAACTGGACGCCTTGTGCCCCTGCATAAGGGAAAACTGGAAAGGTCAGATCCGTCTGGTTATCGGTCGATCTTTCTCAACAATTTTACTGCCAAAATTTACCACTCCACCATTCGGAAGCATTTAGTGCAGGCATGGTATTCTGTGATGACTAATTTGCAATTGGGTGGCAGAAAAGGACTTGGATGTGATTCCGCACACCATTTTGTTCAGGCTCACGTTGCCCATTGTGCAGTCAACAAACATCCTGGTGCAGTTTTGTTTGTCGATCTAAAGGCAGCGTTTTATACAGTATTGCGGCAGGGGTTGTTTCCTCAAGACATCGATGCTACGGCTTTCATGATTGCCATGCACCGAATGGGGGTTCATCCGCAGCAGGTTGCCACGTTGCTTGAACATGCTCAGTCCGAAAGTGCCATTCGTAACATCTCCCCACATGCAATGCTCCTTGTTAAGGATGTCCTTCGGGCAACATGTTTTGAGATGGATGGCTTGTCAGAGGTCGCCGCCACGACAAGAGGTACTCGCCCGGGTGATCCTATTGGGGATGTGGTCTTCAATATTGTCATGGCGGCGCTCCTGGCTGACGTGACCAAAATGCTATCAGCCACGCATGCAGTTTGGGAAGGGGCTCCCACATTAGTCTCTGACTTTTGTGCCACTGATGATCCGCATGCTTTTGCCTGGGCAGAGGTTGCTTATGTTGATGACCTTGCGGTGTTGATGCGGTCCCCAGACAATGAGTCGCTGGTGCAGTTTGCTCAACAAGCTACCACTGCCGTTTGGCAGGCTGCACATCGACGTGGCCTTGAACTTACCATTGGTGATGGGAAAACAGAGTTACTGTGGGCTCTTCGAGGTGAAGGGAAAAAGCGTATTCTCCAGGAGACTGCCGTTAGTGGCAATTCCATTGCAGTGCCTCTTCCCGAACCACATTTGTCCCTTCAGTTACCAGTTGTCTTGTCCTATAAGCATCTGGGCACCTGGGTTCAAAATGACGCCAAGCCACTCAGAGCTATTCGTTCCAGAGTTTCGGCGGCGAAGCAGGCATGGGCTCCCCTTGTGCGACCCTTTCTTTCCAAGAAAGGAATTTTGATGCGTACCAAGCTGCAGGTGTTTGAGTCTCTGGTTTTGTCCCGGTTTCTCTTCAATGCCCATACATGGAGTCTGGTACTCCCCTCGCAATTGGCGGAATGGGCGGCTGGATTGCGCCCCATGTTGTACTCATTTGCCAAGCCATTGCTGCGGGGTCAGGCACCCTTCTCATTTGATGTTGATACTCTCTGTGGAGTGTGTGAATTGTTGGCACCGCTGGATTTGCTACATGTTGCTCGGCTCCGATACTTTAAGCGCATGCTTGACCATTGTCCCACCACATTATGGCATATGCTGAAGGCCACTGCCGCTGCAGAAGGCTCATGGTTGGACCATTTGCGTGGGTCCTTTCAATGGTTGTGTCGGTTTAGTCATGCAAAGTTTGGACTTTCTGCCGAAGCTGGTCTTGACACTTGGTGTAGTTTTGTTTCTATCGACGCTAGATGGAAAGGACGCATCAAAAGAGCCATGCATTCGTGCAGACGCCATCGGCATGAGCAAGCAAAAGCCACTGTTTGGAATGCCTGGTTGCAAGGGTCCTTAGCTAGGCATGGTGTTGAAGTTGCTGCCAGTAGCTGTGGCGTTCGATCTGCGCAATGGCAATGTTTGCAATGTGAGCAGCTGTTTTCCTCCCGCAGAGCCCTAGCGATGCACTCAGCCAAGCGGCACGGCTACAAAACTTTGGTGAAACACTTTGCAGTTGATGGAACTTGTCCCAATTGTGCCAGAGTGTTCCACAGCAGAGTGCGGCTGTGCTGCCATCTGCGTACTGCTACTGTTTGCCTTGAGCGAATTAGAGCCTCCTTTCCGCCGCTCTCAGTTGACACTATGAAGCTTTTAGATGCCACAGACCGAGAGCATGCCCATTGTATGCATCAACAAGGCTGGCTTGCCTCCAAGGCCAAGCTGCCTGCGTTACGCGGGCAGGGACCATGATTGCCGCCCGCTGGCTCGCCGGAGGCGGCCCTGATGCTGAACAAGTGGAGCAACAGAGTTGATGTGGAAGCCAACCCCGCTTATGATGCACTGGAAGGGATATGCCTCCAGCAAGGTGACCAGTCCCCGAGGCGAGAGCATGAGTCAGATGTTGCACCAGATGATGAGCAGATGGCTTTTGTTATGCATTCTGCGGGAGGAAATGAACATGGACATGGAGGGAGGTTTTCACTTCATGGATTAGCACGCCTTTATGCTACATTACACATTCGGACGTTGTGCTTCATTCACATGTTCTCAGGGTTCCGCAGGCAGGGAGATTTACAACATTGTGTTGAGCGTCACTGGGTGCAGGGCATTCACCATGTTTTCTGCATTTCAGTTGACTTTTGTCTTCAAGGCAGTGACGGAGATCTCTCGTCATCCCAGAACCTCGCTTTCTGGAAGCGTCAGGTGTCCAGTGGAGCAGTATTTGGCATGGGCGGCGGGCCCCCCTGCGAGACCTTTTCTGCTGCAAGGTTCCTCGAGGGGGGCCCGCCGCCGCTGCGTTCCTACGATGAGCCATGGGGTCTCTCGTCGAACTCTCAGCGGCAATGGGATCAAGTTGCCCTTGGCTCTTCTCTCCTGCGCTTCATGCTTGAGATGCTCTTTCATTGCGCATTGGCCGGTGCTTGTGGTTTCCTCGAACATCCTGCATTCCCAGTGTGGGTAAGGTCCCATCGACCTGCCAGCACCTGGGCTTTACACGCAGTTCGATGGCTACGACGACTGCATTGTGTTTCAGCGGTGACATTTGATCAATGCCTTTTTCAATGTGAGGGGAAAAAACCCACGTCCTTACTTCTGGTAAGACTTTCCAGTCTGCGGCATCACATTTTGCTTCAAGGGCTGGGAGGACGATGTCACCATGCGCCGGGAGCGCATGTGTCACTACAAGGTCGTAATCTGGACGGATCATTCAAAACCTCCGTTGCTAAGGTATACCCTGAACCATTGAATGAAGCCATTGCCGATGCCATAATTCATTTTGCAACCGCGACTTTTGGCCATTCGTTTAAGACTGCTCCAGTCGACGAGGCCGTCGCTGCGATGTCTCGATTGAATTTTGTGCCGCGTGATGTCATTCAACCCGACTTTCACGGCGGCTAGTACAGTTTCGAGAATCCTAGCATGCCCCAAGCGAGACCTATCTTGCAGCATCTGGAAAGGAAAAGGAATTTGTGCATCGTCAACTTTCATGTTTCTTGTGTTTACAGGGTTCCTAAATGGCAGAACATTGCTAAGGTCCCGGCACCGGCGCGGATTTTCGCGGCAACCACTTGTGTCCACACAATCTATTTTTTTCAGTAGTTTTACAAGAGCAACACCTTCAAAGTATATAGCAATCATGGATTATCATAGATCAAAGCAACATCTTCAACGTATAAACAAGTAAGGGGAGCAACATCTTCAACGTAGCAGCAAGTAGAGAAAACACCGTATTCAATGTAGCATAAAAAAAGACAAGCGAACATCTTCAACATAGCAACAAGTAGAGAAAACACCTGTCTGCAACATAGTAGCAAGTATAGAAAGCAACATCTTAATGGAACCAACAAGCAGAGAGAGCAACATTTTCAACCTAGCACCTAGCAACAACTTAAAGTAAGCAGTGCCCATCGAATCTTATTAGGCACGCCCCAACCCCCCACCAACCTCTTTACAACGGAAGACGAGGTTCTTGGAAGCTCCGGGAAACCTCCACCCTTGCGCCCACGTATATTTCACAGATGTATATTCTGTGTGTAATGTAAGGTATTGCAATGTACAATGTAACCTTACTAGGCAATAAGTATAGTGTGGTATGGCATGGTATAGTGTAGTATAGTATGGTACGGTATAGTATAGTGTAGTGCAGTACAGTATATTGTAGTGTGGCACAGCGTAGCATAGCATAGCATAGCATAGCATTGTATTGTATTGCAGGAATGCGGGTTGGGGCGAATGCATTTTTGCGAGAATACTGGGCCCCTGGCATGCACATCCCCCCATCCTGCAAATGAAAGAGCAGGTGCTAGGCCCATTGGGTGCAGTCGCTTTTTCAGGGCTCAGATGCAACAGTTCACTCATACATGCACACATTCGCAAACATAGTGCACCACACCAAAGACACAAGGCTTGGTTTGATCCTGAACTTGGTGCTGGAAAGTTTCGTTCGGCCCTGAGCGAGTTGAGGGCGTTCTTTTGTGGATTCACCAAGTGCAATAGAACACAGTTTGTGTATTCTTTTCAGAAGTAGGTTTCATGCATTGCACCACATTTCTTTACTGAACCCATTATAAGCATTAATGATCAACTCATGCCACACAATACCATAAACCTGGACCGTCATCTCATTTTGCTGCCGTGCCAAGGTCCGGATCATGTGGCCAACTATGTGGAACTCAGTCTATCATCCTTGACCTTCCAACCCTCTGAGAAACCACCCGTGTGAGTGCTCAGTTCATCTCAGCTCATCTCAGTTCATCTCACCAAACCACGAGCTGATAATAGCTGAAACATCATAAACAGATAAATGAATATAAATGAGGCATGCCGGACATCTGGCACCTAAGGCACAAATGTTGTGCAACCATGTTGTTTGGAGTGTTTGTTCGTTGGCCTTGTGATCGAAGGGACCAAGAGATGTGGATTTTGTGTGCAGTTTTTTTCTCGGGTGAAATGCATGGTCTTGGAGGTCATTGTTTTTCAATATTGAACATGATCATTTTGATTTTATTTTTCTATCATGTTGTCATTTTCGTCAGCATCGGAAATTATAGTGGAGAGTTGTCTCAGGCAGTGGACAAGGCAGGGCGACTATCCACTGCAAAGAGTCATGATTGTTTCATCATGTACAGCTCAATGTGAATTGATAATTAAAAGGTTAATTGAGATGATGCATTTTAATTATGTTATGATTGATCAATGTTGATTAAAATGCTTTGAGCTTCAGAATTATTCTGTCCAACGCCAAATGTACACTGTTCCTTGGCAAGGAGACTGCCAGAAGGGAACGGCAAAGCACAGTGAAGACTAGCATATTTATTTATTTGTGTATTTATTTATTTATTCATTCATTCATTTATTTATTTATATATATATATATTGACTGATGATACTCTGATATAAATATGTAGCAAGACTTACCTGCTCTGCGGGTGGTGCAGGCATTGGACCTGACGTACTATGTCCGCGCAAGTGTTTGCGGCATATCTGTGTCCAGCAGTGCCGGGAATACCCAGCGGATCCCGGACCCAAGCTGTGCAGGGTTCAGCTGGGTTGAATCTCAGTGATGGCCTAGAAGAATCATTGCGAGAAAGAGCGTCCAGACCATGGCCATTGTAGAAAAATGAATGAAACCTTGGCCACAGGACTTCACACGAAATGTAATGATTATTGAATTGGCCACCATATGAAACCTCATACGAAACCTTGGTGCTGTCTCGCCTTACCACTGAACTTCTGGCCTTGGTCATGCGAGCAACATTCGTGATGTCATTTGTGACCTGATACAATTTTTACCATGAGAAACTTCAGGTATTTGACTTCCAGGACTATATGTTTCCAGTTGTGGGAAACTTTGAGCTACCAACCAAATGGTTCTTACAATTCTGCACTTTTAGACTTAGTTGTCAATGTCCACCAATGGGAACCAACTCGGACAGAACCACTGTGACCATACAGATTTTCAGCGCTTGGGTGTTGCATCCTTTGAGCCTAGGCGTTGCACCGGGCAAAGCCAGCTTGGTCACAAGTGTACGCGTCCCGGTGGCTGTCCGTTTGTGGCACCCAAAAAAAGTACATTATCCCTCTAGCACCATCTAGCATTCATCTAGCAATATTTAGCATTATTTAGCATTATCTTGCAACATCTAGCATCATCTAGCAGCATCTAGCATCATCTAGCAGCATCTAGCACAGTCTAGCAACATCTAGCATTCTCTAGCAATATTTAGCATTATTTAGCATTATTTAGCATTATCTTGCATCATCTAGCATCATCTAGCATCATCTAGCAGCATCTAGCACAGTCTAGCACCATCTAGCATTCATCTAGCAATATTTAGCAATATTTAGCATTATCTTGCAACATCTAGCATCATCTAGCAGCATCTAGCATCATCTTGCATCATCTAGCAGCATCTAGCATCATCTAGCAACATCTAGCACCGTCTAGCACCATCTAGCATTCATCTAGCAATATTTAGCATTATTTAGCATTATCTTGCAACATCTAGCATCATCTAGCTGCACCTAGCATCATCTAGCAGCATCTAGCATCATCTAACAGCATCTAGCATCATCTAGCAACATCTAGCACCGTCTAGCACCATCTAGCATTCATCTAGCAATATTTAGCATTATTTAGCATTATCTTGCAACATCTAGCATCATCTAGCAGCATCTAGCATCACCTAGCAACATCTAGCACCGTCTAGCACCATCTAGCA